AAGATGAAGAAAAGTATTTTAATTTTAACATGAAAATCACTTGCATGTGGATTAAGTAAAAAAATACTGATATATCCACGGACAATTTTTTTTTTAGTTTATTAAAAATACTTCTCTAAAAATATGATTTTTTCTATGTGAAAGACACAATGTTTACTGAAAGTCTGCTATATTAAAAGTTAGTGGTATCAAAGCTATGAAGACTTCAAAAGAAGTCACATGGTCGGTCGAACCAACTGAGCTTGTGTTGAGAGAGTTAATGTCTTTGAGGCTTAGCTAACAGATAGATACTTAAAAAGTTTATATGCAATGCTATGTTTTACCAATTGAGTACTCTCACTGTTAAAGGTACTTGTGACTGTAAATACCTCAGGAGCTTCTTTCTGTCAGGTTAGGAAATATGGGTTAGTCTCAACAATACAAACTAATCTATAATAAAACTAAATATACTAATTATCTTGACAGTATTTATATAAAGCATATAGAACTTTACATACATATAATAATACTTTACAGGTTCTGAGTTATATTTCAAAGAATACCATTTGTTGAAGTATATTTGCATGTTAATCTTCAAAATGTTGTCTTTTTTGTACAGAAATAACACTAAATGAAAAAACTAGCACTTAGTCATCTTTTTGTTTTTTTTACTCCTTAATATATGTACATTTACAGTTCTAGGACTGGTGATGCTACCTGGTCTGAAACATCAAGGAATTCTTCAAAAGTACATCAGCCAAATAGCACAGCAGCTAAAGAACATTGTTGGTCAGAAGCTGAAGAAGAACTAAATTTAATCTTATTGAAAACTTCATCTTTATTGTAGTTCATAGTTGTATTCCAGCATTTAAGAGAATATTTAGTGATTATTGATTTGTCCCCAATGTTCTATGCTGTCAGGTTCTTTGTGCCAATTTTCTTATTGCTCAAAGCACTAGTCCATATACTTATTTAAATTGAAATTTAAGATCAAAGGTTTATCGTAAGTTTTTTGTCTTTTCACATTCATCTGTTCTGTAGCATATAGAATATTTCATACTTTTCAAAAGCTAATGCACTTTTTAAAGGCTTGAGAAATGTAATGAAACATCATGTTAGGCTGTAGATATTTTTCTCATATTCCTTTTAGTTACTCCATTATGCCATATCTTATGATAATGTGTTTATTTTCTTTGGTAAACCTGAGAAGTTATCATCAGACTAAGTAATAATTTATTTTATAGTCACATTGTGTTTATCTTGATCTCTTTTAGTCTTTCGCTTTAGGTCAGTTATTTTTTTCTTATGTGCTTTTAATATTGATAGTTGTGTATAGAACCTTGAACTCGAATTTAATTACATTTAGTTCAGTAATTTGTTTTTGCCTTCTACCCTTCTAAATACTGATGGCAGTAAAATTTTAACACAAGTTATTGAAGTTTTATGCAAGATACACCTTTAACCTGTAGGAAATGAAATGAAGGATCCTTCAAACATTAGTGGTCAAAAATGTATTGCAAACATTTCTTAACTAATTGTAAAAAAAAACATTATGCATTTTTTTTTTTTGTAAACTTTAGAAAATATTTTGGTAAACAAACAATTTGTTACTTTGGCAATCCAGTCATAGGAGTTGATGGTTCAGGAGTAAAGCCATTTAGTTCTGTTCTCTTGTTACTTTGGCACAGCAAGGAAGCTGGATATTCTAGAGTGAATCTCCGTCAACATCTGAAATAAATTGTTTTGAAGCTCATCGCCATAGTAGTTTGAATGGAGGAAAAAAGGAGGTGATATAATTAGGTATTGTATCAAAAATTCTAAGTGCATATACTTGATTTTATAATCTTTTCCAGCAAACATCCTGAAATTTAATTTGTTTAATAAGGTTGGAGAACTTGAAACGAGATGAAAAAATGTAATGGCATATAAATATTAGTTGTTTGTAATTGCATAATTTTCTATGAGAAAACTTCAGGATAGCAGTACACAAGGTATTTAAACTAAATAGTCTCAAGCATGATAGTCTGGAAATCTGGCTCAGCAAGCTGATGCAAGGATTGCACAGAATATATATCAGAATTTTAGTTTGTTCTTAAAACTTGTTTACTTAGTTGTTGTTAATGTTATTTTTAAGCCCTTAGTTTGATTTACTATTTTAAGTTTTTAATAATTATGCTAGTGAGTTCCACAAGGAGTACTTCACTTTTTTAATGTGTGAATAATGAATATAAGTTTCACCTATTAACATTTTATATATAGACCTTAGTTCAATAAACTGGTTCTTGAAAAAGAAAAGTCATGTTAAACTCATGAAGCTAAAATTATGCTGTGTCATATAAAAACCTCACTTAGAGTATATAGCTCTTGAAAAAAAGTGGCAATGTTTATTCCTGAAAGTTTTAATTGCAAACTTAAGTAAAAGTACTTCAGTCTTAAGAAACTCGTAATTCTAAATTGAAGCTAAAGTTTCCATTTCCTGTGAAAAATAATAGTTTTTAGATATTTCATCAAAATCATTAAGATTAAAATATAAACTCTTAAAATATTACAAAGTATATTGGTTGATTTGTTAACCAACATCTAAAAATAGAGGTGATGGGTTAAGTATTTGACATAATAGTATAACTAACGCTAACAGATCTACTATTACATATCTATTTAAAAATTTCTGTGTATCACAGAACACAATACTGTGTTCATTGGTTTCTGTAGTTTGACTTAATTTTGTTATTTTTGTTCTGGATCTTTGTGTTTGTTCATTACAGCAAAAATATATATTTATAGATAAAGATTTTAGCACCCAGTACATAAATTACATTTGTTACAGCAGCAAGTATAACAACATTATGTTAGATTTTAGTTACTGACATCAAAATATGCAAACTGGTATATTGCATTGCAGTATGTGATGTTTTGATCCTTTTTTGTTCATGTTAAAGATTTGGCTTTAATGGACTGCTCCTGCCTGTTTTTAGATAGAACATTTTGGCTTCTTTAATGAAGCCTTCTTTGAGTCAAAGTTCAAATTGTTAACAGTGTAGTGTCTTTTTTTTGTTGGTTAGCTCAGCCATGTGATGGAGTTCCTTCCTTTGTATTTGTCTCTCAGTGTGAGTAGACATATCTGAAAGTGTATTGTGTGAGTTGTAGGCCTGTTAAATTTATAAATATGACATCTTCATGTTGTTTTAAAGTTGTTATTTGTACAGTTTACAATTCAGTTATGGTTAAAGTTTTTTAATATTATTATCTTTACAAAACAGTTTTTGATCTTTTTAAAGAAACATATTTTGAAACAAAAAATAATAATGAAGTAACATGACAGTGTTATTCTATTTAAGTAGACACAATCTCAACAATTATGTCAAATGTCTCAAGTTAGTAATATCTTCAGTGCAACTTTTCTTGTTGTCATAAGGTTTCTTGCTTTTTTTTTTATTGTGTAAGATGTATACTGCCAGAGGACCTTATTCTTATTCATGCTTCACATATTTTATGTTGACCCTGTATTGTATAAAAGTTTGGTTGTTGTGTGTTTTGCTGACTATATTTAATCAGATTTTCCCCCTTTAAAATCATGTAATTGATTAATTGTTGAGTTATTACTAAGGCCAAATCAAACTACATCTGTAAAATTTTTTTGTTATTCATATCAGTATTATTGAGTCACAGTATTAGTAGAGAAATTGTGAAAAAAATATAGATGATGTGTAGACTTTATCAAAGCAGCTTAACAGAAAGGGAAATATTTTTTAGAATAGCTGGTATTCATAATATAATAATATTAACACAAAATAATTTCATTTCTGTGTCTTTTCACTTTTAGACTCTCATTGTTCAGTGGTACTGTAAAAGTCTTTTTCTTATTATACAAGAACCATATACTCTGTAAAGAACTTTCTAGTGTTAATATGTGGATATTTATATTGAAAACAACATCCATGTATGATACTGACATTCTGAATAAACTGTATTTGTGTATGTTCTGAGTATTATGTAATTCATTATATACAGCTGCAAACACAACCTTATTCCGTGCAGTTTATCATAGAATAAACCAATTGTTGTATGGTTGACCATTATATGACCAACTAGTATTTTGTGTGATATAAGTACTTTTTGTTGTGTTATTCATTGTAAAAATAAACATTGTGTTGTCAAATACAAGCTTAATAAATTGTTTGTTTGTTCCATATTCACACCACAACATATAAGACATTCATGTAGAAGGTATTTGGTCATTGTAAGGTGCAGTGTCTTGTATTTTTAAACGTGGAAGGCCTGTAACTTACTGATTACCTATATTTGAATCATTAAGTGCAAGTGTGCATAATGAGAAAATTATTGTTTCGTGAAGCAACAAATATTTTCAACATCCAAACTTTTCTGTTTAATTAGCAAAATACATCGTTATTCACACTTGTGTTAAAATACTTCTTATAGCTTACAATATTGGAAATAATAATGGAAAACCACAGGTGATACAATGCAAAAATGTGTATGTGCAACTAAATGTTTGATTTGTCATCATTACGTGCAGTCCGAGGCATGGCAAGTGGTGTTCCATCATTGTTTTTTTACTTCTATGTATCACTGTGTTACTGGAAGATGAATTGTTATCCAACAACTCTTGTTCTTGAGGGAATGATGTTATGAATAAGAACATTTTATACTTGTTAACAGTCTAGGTGCCATCAGTTTTTTTGTACAGTTCTAACAGTTTTGGATGAGATGCAACCAATACTTGTATTGGTCCTCCAACAGGATTCCTTACAGATGAAACCATCCTCCTGTCTGCCATTGAAAAAACTATTATGACTGTTGTCAAACAGTTTGGATTCATCTGTAAAGAGTACCCTCCTTCAGCATTGCTTACCATAGTGTATGAATTCTGATGCCCATTTCTGCCTTTTGGATTAGTTACCTATCCTAAACAGTTAATCATCCATCGTGTGACATGTGTATCTTGCTGTTTTTGGAAGTAATTTTATTATTTGTTGCTAGATCATTAGCAAGATCACTATTGCATTTTTGAGTATCTCTTGAGAGCTCGAAATCTCTATCTCATCTACTTCTTTTGTCAACAGTATTAGTTTCACGTACTCTCTTCGGAGATTCCATACAGGTCTTAGAGAAACATGAAATTTTGCCTCAATTTGTGACACGGAGGAGGAGGATCCTTTACTAGCTAAAACATTGATTTCTACACATTTGACCTGTGGCATTTCAGTCTTGTAGAAAAATAGTATGGGTGTATACTTCTAACCTTTTATAGGCATTATCTGATTGGTTGATGTGCTATGCATTTATATGAAGCAGGAAACAAAAAAAGAACAGTAAGAGGTGACTGTATTAAAGTTTATAAGGTTGTGTTGGAGATCAATAAAATAAAGGCCTCTGATTTCTATGCATTGTATTCTGAAGACGAGAGGACGAAAATTTGGAAAAAGACAGGCTAGACTTCAAGTGAAGACACTTATTTTCCTAACAGAGTGATTGGCTAATGGAAAAAGTTGCCGTTTAAGAGGGAATCTATGATTTCCTAAAATGTAAAGAAAGTGTTCACATTTTTAATTTTCTCAAGAGCAGTTTGCAAGGATAACCTTACAGAACCGAATAGTTCCTTGTTGTTCATAATTCTTACAATCGATTAAAATAATATGAAAACTAGCAATTTAAATCCATTAAAAACTATGCTATTGTGAAAAGTCTGTCAGTTGTTATAATCATCTTGAAGACGAACTATAAGTAGTTCTTTGAGGATCTTCATGATCTCAAACTTATTCCATAAGCCTTCTTGGTATCAGATTATGGACGGGCATAATGCCTACTTTTATGGAGTTCTATTCCTTGTGTAGTAGATGTGTTGGTTTTTTCCTTCCCTGATATCAAAGAGAAAAAGAACGATTTCGATTTGCTGTTGCTTTAACTCGTTAAGATGTGGATAAGACAATATCATCTGTAAGTTTAATGTATGTTGTTAACGTCTAAGTCTTCATGGACGTTGTGTTTTATTGCTTGTATTCTTTTCATTTATTGTACATTTAACTCTCTCTCTCTGTTGCTGTATGCATAATCGCCGAGTTAGTTGAGGCAAGGAGCATTTGACCCAGGAATATTTCATGTAGTGTGCTACTGCACTGATCTAAAAGCTATTGTATCATCACAGTCCCAATAATTTCTGCAAGTTGGATAATAACGTACGGAGTGGAGTCATATGATTCTAATAGTAGCATAGTTAGTGAAAAATCAACATAAATGGAACAAGTTATCAGAAGCCTTGATATTAGAAAAGTAGTTTGGCACGTTGTCTTCTGGCAGAAAAATTGGTCAACAACGCCTACGTGATCTCTGAACTTCGATCTCCCTTAAGGAAACAGGAGGTCAGACCATCAGGAAGCTATTTAGGTTAAAGTGACCTTGGTAGGTTTTGAAATTATGCAGGCTTTTGATTAAGCATCTTTCAACGATTCTCTTTTTATGCAGTTTCCCATTTTGTACAAAATTATTGTTGACTTGCAAACTATTTGGTGGACATAATCTCTCATATGAAGAAAAATAACATTGTTTGTGTTTCCATATTTAACGTTTTTTATGCTCATTATATATTGTTTGTGGACCACTTTGAACTTTTGTGTAAATTCTCACGATAACAGAGATTAATAGAAACACAGTTTAAAGTGATATAAATACTATGGCTTTGTGATTTTATTTCGACCTGTAGATGACAATAATTATGAATTTAGTGGAATTAATGGCCTAATTTTTAATACCTCCTAAAACTATACAACTGTTCATATCTTGCATGGGTTTTATTTGTATGTGTTTTAATTAAAGTTAGTGTATTTCATGATTCTTTGTATCTTGCATGTACAGAGAAAGACAGTTATTGTGTCCCATTCGGTTCCTGGCAATAAAGACTATATCCGTCCTGACACTATACACAGCGTGGTCACAAGTAAATAGACACCACCTTTTCAGAAAAATGAAAATATTCAGTAATATTCACATGAATTGATATATTTATAATTTATTTAATATCTAGTAGATCTTCCTTTCCCTTTGTGGAGTTCGTTGATCCTTTGGGGCATCGTGAGAATCATCTCGTCAATTTTAGATTGTGGGATTTTCGTCCGCTCTTGCTTCAAAACTTGGAGTATATCGCTCTTCGAAGTTGGTTTTTATTTTAATTTTTTGGTTGTTTCTTGACTTGCCG